TTTGCTATCCTTGGAGGGACAGAATTTCTGGAAATGCCCACATAAATCTAAAAATTACAAAAGGTGTATTTTAGGGTTAAACTTACCATTTGCTTATGCAAAATTGTATTCACAACTTTTCAAAATACAAAAATTCATAAATGTTACTTAAATAGTTCAGCCAAAAATTAACATTTGCTGAAAGTTTGCTCAGTCTCAGGCCATCCAAGATGTAAATGAGTTTGTTTCTTTATCAGAACAAATTTGGAGAAATGTAGCATTACATCACTTGCTCACCAACGGATCCTCTGCAGTGAATGGGTGCCGTCAGAATGAGAGTCCAAACAGCTGATAAAAACATCACAATAACTCACAAGTAATTCACATGACCATGATCCATTTTCATTTTTGGCTCAACTATTCCTTTAATGTGACATCCATTTACAATTGATTTCAATTGAAGGCAGTTTTATTTCACTGAATACCATAATAGATTTCCAAAACAATATTATTGCCATTGTGCACTTTTCTAGAAACACATGATAATACTATGGTATTTTTAGGACTTTTTTTGTTAGTGCCTTACAGATGTGTATAATAGATAACGTGCACAGAGTCAACATGACTGTACAAAACACAAATGTATGGTAACGTTTATGGACCATGTCTTGTGTGTGTGTGTAATTTGGTATGAGGGGTACAGCATTTATTTGACATTCCTGTGTGTGCATCTGTGTGCTGGTTTTATGTCTCATGAGTGCGGAAAAAAATGCAGCTATGATTTGGAATTTCCTCTCAGCAAATCCCAGACTAACACACACTCACACACACTTCTCTGTTACAACTCATACAGACACAGGGAGAAATGCCCCCTACATTCAACACACAAAGCATGCAGGTCCCACACAGTCTTATTTCCTGTTTGTGAGTTGTTTTGCACATGGGTTAATTGGTTTAGCTGTTTCTGGCATGTGCTGTGAGGTCCGTCTGTCTTTCTCCGTGGTACAGTATGTGGGGTTTTTTTTAAGAGATGTTCAATGAGACGAGGAGTCGGGAGGTAGTGGAATGTTTGCTTTGGAATCCCTCCATTCCCTGTAACCACGGTGATTATTCCTCCAAGAATAGAATCAGACTCATCCACAGATTGTGGAAATAAAAGCAGCTCATGCCAGATATGTTTCACTCTCAGACTACTGACAGCATGTTTTTTTGTACATGCAACACTATTATATACTATTATATATATTATTATTGTTCATACAAGGGTTTGTTCAAATCACTAACCCTATATATGACCAATAATAATGGTCAATGATGTTTTGTGAGTTACATCTGTTTAATAACGTGTTTGATGTGGCACCTGTCAGGCAGAGTTTGACACTGATCTTCTGATGCCTCTGTTTGCATCTTTAGAGCTCCAGAGCCTTAGTGTGTGTGTGTGTGTGCTGTTGAATGGATGTGTGTTGAGGCGTGTGACTGTTTCATGTTTTTGCCTTTGCGGCAGGCTTTTATTAAAGCTTTACCTCTGACCCCTGTGGGAGTTCATAAAACAGCAGCTCTCCACATTATTACACCCTACTATCACATTGCAGGTTTTGCATCAGTGTTGTTAAGTAAAAGTAAAACTATTAAAAATAGTTAAATGAAATAAATCTGAATTAAAATGTAAACATTAGATTAAAAACTTAAAATTATAAATGTTACTTTGGCAACTTACTGAAATATAATAAAGTATTGAAATTACTAAAACTTGCTGTTGAAGTATTGTTCATTGCCATCTTTTTGTTATTGCTTGTTTACTAGCAACTTCTTAATGAAAATACTTTCTATACTATTTTTTTCTTCGGAGTAGAGATTGTTGTCTATTGTTATTTTCAATAGAAAGAAAGTTAAGTGAAAGACAGGAAAAGAAAAAGAAACCCGATGAACTGATTTTTTTAAAAAGATAAGCAGCTCAGAGTTGTTTTGTTCATGATGTGGTGTGTGTTGACTGCACATTTGCTTTCATTTAATCACATTGTTTCAGCATAAAACAATGTGAAATATAAGCTCTTTCTTTGTGAAGAAATATAGCTCTTTCTTTGTGTGTTTCTCATTATAGATCCTCTTCAGAATATCAGAACACACTCCTAATGTCTGGTTCCCTTGAGCACTGTTTCTCGTTACACGGCTCTTGTTATATTTCACCCTCTGCTTTGCTTCATTATCTGGTTGTTTGTGTTCTTCAGGACAGACTCTTGGCCAGTAATTGGCTCAGTTATTGCAGACGGCTGCATTGATGCTGCAGCCGGTACAGCCGGCCAATCGGAAGACAGGAGCTGAGTTCTCAGGCAGCTGATTGGCTGGCCCAGTGTCACGGTGGTCTCCAGGTAGCGAGAGAATGTGGGAGAGTATGTGGCTGTATGTGGAGGGCGGAGTCAGAGAGAGTGAAGGATGGACGGCTAATTCAGTCTCTTCATTAAAGAATTTGGCAGTGAATTTGGACCAAACAACCCAAAATATAACAAGTAGATAAGGCTCTCAGCGAATGTTCTGGCCACTTTTGCTCTCTCTTAGCAAATTTCACTGTCAGTTTCAAAGACCTTTAAAATATTTTACACAAAATTTTGCCAAAACATGAAGTCTCTCTGTACAGGGAGTCCAAAGAGGACGGATAAGAGACAGCGATGGAAAACAGAGAAAGTGTTATAAAAAAGGTGGGTTTGGAGTAAGTCATGCTGAAAGTGTTTCTAAACTCTCACTGCTGGAGCTTTGAGCTCTTTTAAAGGTCTGATGGGTTTGGTTTTGTCTCATACACAGTTTTAAAGTGATACTGGGAGAAAACTAACTGATGTATGGTTGATAAATTATACTTGGGTACATATACATTAAGCCAGATATATTTGAAAATGTTTTTTGAAACTCTCCATCCACGCTAGCATTTTCCTCCCAAGTTTTTGAGAGAGTTGCTCATCCACACTGAAACATCTAAAAATGCTTCAGTCATCCTGAGCAGGTGTAAGACATAAAAAAAAGCTCAATGAGATGATAGCGACACCATATGAAATATAGTTTTCACAACAGTTTTCTGACACAATGATTTTGACTCACTGGTTGCTCTAGGTTGTTCTTAAAAATCGGCATTGCATATATGGTCTAAAAACGCAACTGCAAGTACATTTTCTGTCTATTAAATTAAGTAAATTTACTTTCTATTTTTTAGAAAGATTGTACAAAGTAACTATGAACATGAATAGCAGGCACAACAATGCCAGTTGATATCTAGGTACAATATCATGCCACATGATTAAACGTGTCATTGTTTTCAAATACCTCCCTATTCAGCCCACAAAAAAATTCTAATTTATCCACATGGGATTTTTTGGAAATTCAAAAATCTTCATTTTAATTGTCTCAGTGTGGACAAAAGGCCGAAATGTAGAGAAAAAGATGTGTTTTCAAACATATTTGGATTAATGTGGGCGCAGCCTCAGGCAAAGCAGATGGCATATTTAATTTGACAAACATGAAAACAAGGTGAGAGCAATAGACAGTCAAATGCTTGACTTCAATTATTCAGCCAATGAAACAAAAAGGCAACAGACAAGAAACTAGACATGAAAATGAATCGTCTCTCACAGCCTTGTTTTCATTTGTGTAAAAGTAAGTGGAATCAATCATCTACCCTGACTGTTTTATTAGTAAATTATTAAAGTCTAAAGATCATCCAGTCTTGATGCCTTGATCTTCTCTTTCAGTCCTGTGATGATGATGCTGATGAGAGACAGTTTTAATTACAGCTGATCTGAACATAACAAACTGACCTCAATCAGTCCTGATGCTCTTCAGAGAGAAAGAGAACATCTCTCCCATTAGTTAGATGTCCTCAATGATGACCTTCCTTTCTTTTTACAGGAAATAAATGTTGGGTGGTACTTGATTTTGTCCATGGGGGAATTGATGGATGCATTGTAAGTTCATGTTGACTTAAAAGTGAAATTACTCTTCTGAACGGGACAAGTCTATATATAGCTTGAGGTCAGTATTTTTATTTTTTATTTTTAAGAATAATATATATTTTTGTCAACAAAAGAGCATTGAAATTGATCAAATGTGACATCAAAGACATTTATATTGATGTTACAGAAGATTTCGATTTCAAATAAATGCTGTTCTTTTGAACTTTCTATTCATCAAAGAATCCTGAAAAAAGTGTGACTGTTTTCTCAAAAATATGAAGTAGCACAACTATTTTCAACAATGATAATCAGGATTGTTTCTTGAGCAGCAAATCAGCATATTAGAATGATTTCTGAAGAAACAAGTGACTGAAGACTGGAGTAATGATGCTGAAAATTCAGCTATGACTCACAGGAATGAATTACATTTGAAAATATATTCACATAGAAAACAGTTACTTTAAACTATTATTTGATCCTTAGTAAGCAGAAGAGACTTCTTTCAAATACATCTTACCGCCCCAACTTTTGAATGGTAGTGTGTATTGAACAGATATTAAGACTGATGAGTTAGTGTTTATTGATGGATTTAATATGCTTCTCTCTCTCGCTCCCTCTCTCTGTCTCTTTCTCTCTCTCTCTCTCTCATATTAACACTATTTTTATGAATAATCTGAATTGAATTTATATCAGCTTTACACACTGAATGTCATGTCTCCTTTTGTCCCAGATAATATAGGTCAAATTATTGTGTGTGTGTGCGCCTCAAGTTGCCCCTCAGGCTCTGTCTGTCTGCTGATCTGACCACTGTGAACCAAGGATTTAGTGTGTGTGTGTGTGTGTGACGGAGGCGATAAGTAGAAAATGTGTCTCTTTATGTCCATGATGCTGTGAGCCTCATCAGACTGCAGGTCATCTGAAGCAGAGGTCAGTCGCC